TGATATTAGCACGGTGGTACCTATAAATGCTCAAAGTTGACTCTCCCAAATGAATATGCTCTTGAATTTGTGTTCTATCATTAGAAGCAATAGCCATAGCCACTTTTTGTGCAACCTCTTCAAGTTGTCCTGACACATTCTTCAAATTCTGGCTGCATTTTAGTAAGAGCTGATAAGTTAATCCCAAGAGAGTGAGCCCAACAGAAGAGACAATATTTTTTATTTTTTTTTTTACTTTTGTTTTTTTGCATCAATATATAAAACCAATTGAACTTCATAAGTAATCTGCATAATTTTATTTTAATAGACAAATTGCATGTGATCTAGAGCATGATTGGATACAAAATTATCCCAAAAAAATCCTAACATTTTTAATTCAACTGCTTTATTAATTCAACTTTAACTCAACCCTACAATCATCAATATTATCAATATAATTAATTAATATCAAATCAATTATTCTTATACATCACATTACCTCAATTCACTATTCATCTACTCACATAATTTTAACTAACTATCTCTTCAAATCTTCTCTCTCCTACTTTACATCAAATCAACTTTACTCATTTAATTTTAATATTACTTTAATATACCTACTAACAACTAACCATACCTTATCTACTTTTTCAAAACTAACCTAACTAAATAAAAAAATCCAAACAAAACAAAATTTTGTTATATCCAATCATCCTTTAAAGATTTCACTTTGTATTTACAAAATAGTGTCTTATAAACTTCAAAACTATTTGATTGAACGCTCTCGTTATAACTAAATGAATTTACTCAAGCTTCTAATATTTGAATGAGCTAAAGTAGTAAAAAAGTTCGGCTCGTTAAGCTATCAATATTAATGAGTCAAGCTATCAAAAAATACATAAAATGAAACTTCTAATATTTGAATGAGTTAAAGTAGTAAAAAAGTTCGGCTCGTTAAGCTATCAATATTAATGAGTCAAGCTATCAAAAAATACATAAATTTTCATATTATAAAGATGTAAATGAAGTGAGAACTCCTAATACTTGAATTTGAGCTCTGAGTCGACAAAAACTTGGGTCATATTAACACGTTCGAGGGATATAAAAATCACATAAAATTTTATAATTTTTCGAGCTGAACGCGACTCAATTCAAACGAGTCGAACTCGAACATAACTAGCTCGTCAGCAACTAGTTTTGTTTAACATTTAAAATAAATTATAATTTTACCATAACATTTGAAAATCCCGGCCACCAATTGCCGCCGTGGCCTCTTCCACAATCCGGCGGTCATCCCCGCGCCATACAATCCTTTCGTGGTCTCCATAACTGCTGCAGCAAATGGCCGCTAGCCCGAACACTCTCTCGCCGTTATCCAGCGCAAATCTCAGCTCCTCCGCCGTTGATATCCCGTGATCCCTAATTATCACCACTCCGAATTCCACGATCGATCCCAGCAACCGCCGCACGGAATCGCTTTCCCCAGACGCTAGCCGTCGGAAATCGATCTCCTCCGGCCGGAGCCGGTGAGCCTGCTGGGGAAGCTTTAGTTCCGGTATCTGTACGGACGCGTTGATGTGGCCGGACAGAATTGGATCTGCGGCGGAGCGGGAGCCTCTGGCGGTGGGAATCGGCGACGGCAGCGGCGGCGCCAAAGCTGGCGAGAGGATGGAGCGAATTTTAGGAGGGATTTTGGGTTTTTCCATTTGGTAAATGAAAACAATGAGCTCGACCTGGGTATTAATGGAAAAATGTGATGGGAAATTAGTGATTAAAGAGCATGAATTTGAGAAAATGGTGGGGGGCACGTTTTTGTTATCATATTGCATATATCTACACTAATACACTTCTATTTGCAGGCTATATGTTTTAATTTCCGGCCAAAACCGTCAAGTGCCGACAGGAGTACCTATCGGAAAACACTGTTAGGCTTCTTGTTTTCCCCCCTCATACATATGAAAGTTATATGATCAGTGTAAGTATGAATTTTTAGTTTTGAATGAATTTCGGCTGTATTTGCCCCAAAATACGACTCAAACTTGCTCTCAGATCTTAAATGTCGAAAAAGATTGAAAGTGTTGGAAATATTTTGTTTTCCGGGATTAGTCATAGCGGATCGATTAACGATTTCTGTTTAGGAGTCTCTTAAGATGCAGCATTATCACAAAGTTCAAACTTTTATTACATTATGTTACACAAAGCGCAACTGTGTAGTTTTTCGCTGCTTATCCGTGCACGTTTGCGCTGAAGTCTTGCACACTACAGGAAAAAAAGATTCAGACATTTCACACCACATAGCAAAACAAGACTGAATAAAAAACAAGCTTCACACTCAGAGCCATCCCGAGTTCTCGTGAAAGAACCTGCACCTCTCAGAGCCTCTTGACTGATTTGCCCTTGACAGATTTTCCCGGGAAAAGGCCGCCTGAATAGCTTTCCGGGTCTTGAAATCCTACGTGCTCGACTGCCCCTACAGTCTTGAACAGCCGCCTCTTGTTGATCTCGTCTACAAGAGTCTTGTGCAACAGTTGGCTTCGAATGTCCATGAATGACATGGCTCTCGGCATTTTCTGCTGGCATTTTGAGCTATAATTCAATACATTAAAATTATTGCAATTTTGGGCTGTGTTTTCCCCCGGTTTGAACCTGGTGCATTTCGAACTCTTTGAAGGGAAAACTGCATCTTTGTTGAGAGAGATTTGCACGAGATCATCCTCATTCGCTGAGTAGTAACTTAAATTTCTGTACATTTCGGAACAGGACGAGCTTTGGGAACTTGCATCGTCGTGAAAATCTGCCTCTGCAAAAAAAGTATACAATCCAGTTGTAACAGCAAAGAAAATTCACTCTGGACTTACTCTACTCTGAAGTATTGCAAGAGAAAGAAAGACCTTGAAGCCAATCGTGTTGCAAATTCACTTGATAAAACCGGTCATCTTCGGAAGTAAACAGGCCCGGAAGGGAATCTTGGGAGGAAGAGAAAGAGGATGCATGATAGAAAGGGTGGCGAGGGGTATTTTCGTCACTATCATCTTCGTTGTAGTAGAAACTCTGCTGCTCGTGTATATTCGAGGAGACAGTATACTTAAGGGACGGGACCAAAGCCGAGACTTCTTTCTCAATCATATTAGCAATTTCTATCGGTTCCCAATCTGTGATCTCTAGTTCCTTCACCATTTCCGTGGCCACATCAACCGGGGTATCTCCTGTAATGTCAAACGGGAAAAATATATTTCTCGCAGGACCTGAAAATGAAAATTCCACCTCCGTTAGCCGCCACATTCTGTAATAGTGAGTTTTCTTGAGCTAAAGTTACCTTTGTGATCCGAAATCTGTACTTTGAGAAAGACAGTGTCGTGCTCCGGATTCATCGTCCCTGAAATTTTCATTTCCGTGCTCCTCCTCAGCAGTAAGTTCACGTCCGGAGGGATTTTTTTTACGACGGGTAAATTTTCATCAACCTCGTCAACTGATAGAAATGGATCCATCAAGAGTTGCCGAGCAGATGGCCGATGAGGAACTCTTTCCAAGCACCTCCCGACAAATCTCCTTGCCTCGGGATCCTCAATATGGTAAAATGCCTTTGGTAGCTTTCCCTGTTCCATAATAAATGTGAAAAAAAAGGAATTTACAGCTGCAGGCTGTTTGTTCTCTACTGGAGAGGAGGAAATATTTATTTACCGATGTCACTTTCTTGTAAATCTGAGCTGGATTCCAGCACTCGCTGTACGGATACTCTGAGGTGATCATCTCAAGCACGCACATGCCGAAGGAGTAAATGTCAACGAGCTCGTCATATTCCTCTTCGTATAGCTCTGGCGCCATAAACTCGGGCGTGCCTGATATTTTTTCACGAAAAATCATATTCTTTATTTATTACCACTAAATGCAACTAGCAAGAAAGCATGAAGGTAGAGGGAGTTGCCTATGACACTGTGGGCACGGTGGGACCCATGAAGTATTGCAGCCAGCCCAAGATCACCGATCTTGACCTGGCCAAGATGGCCGTTGATGAAAATATTGTCACACTTTAGGTCCCGATGGATAACGGGCGGGTCGTGGCTATGCAAATACTCGAGACCGTTTAAAATTTGGCGGGCCCAATCTTTCACTGCCCGTATGCTCACCCGCTTGTACCTCTTTCGATACCTGTTGCGAATTGAATTAGATCATCGGAATTAAGAAAAGAAACATTGTTTTTTTTTTCGGATATGTTCTTTCTTTGGAACAAATTTTACTCTCGTAAGGTGCCGGACGTGAAGAGCTCGGTGATGAAGTTGAAGGTTTTGTGGGCCGGGTCGACCCATGAGGCCCGGAATTTCATGATGGATTTGTGATCGAGAGTCTTGAGGAGGAGGACCTCCGAGTGGAGACGGTTTAGGGACTCGGGCGAATCGAACATTTCATTAAGTTTGACCTGATTCCAAGCTACTTCCGTCCCAGAATGCTCGTCGAATGCTCGGTACACCATTTTCATTGCGCCTTTGCCCAAAACATCTTTCAACTGCAAAAACCAGTAAGTTTTTTTTATTTTTTTTTAACTTCTCATTTAGTCTCTAAAAGAATCAAGAGCAATATAAGTGATTGTTATACCCGTCCGTAACGTTCTGATGGATCCATTTCAACGTATAACTCGTCTACCCGTGTTCTATTCATGTTGGAGTGAGCTTCTTGTGGAGTGTACACTAGTGTTTGCCTACTATCTATATACTAAAGTAGTTACTTGTAGAGAATTCTAGAGAATCCTGGAACTGGAATCGTATGGCTGTGAAGCGAAATAACGGGAGAACAGAAGGAAACTTATGCTAGCTAATCCGAGGCTTTCCTTCGTGATTCTCGTACGAAAAGACGCCGAAGAGTAACCAGAAGAGCCTCGAGTAATCGATCCTCAGCATGATCCAAGACATTCCAAATACTTCACGTGTAAAATCGTGTTCTTGAGAAATCATTTGTGTCCTGAAAAATGAGAAAAACAAAAAGGCAGGTGCTGGTAATAATATAGAAGCAAGAAAATGCGATGGTGGAATGATTCAAGAAAGAAGCTGAAATCTGAACTTGAAGAATCTGTGGCCACGTTTTGGTAGTTCCATTTGAGGGATTTGATGATGAAAACAAAAAAAGTTGGATGCTTTTGTGAGATTTCTGAAGAGTTAAGGAGATTAAGGTTGCAATATTATTAAGGTTTTGATTAAGATTTGGAGAGGAGACTTTTGAATAGGCAGGGGTGGGGAGAGTTGACGGGGTTTTATATGAAAATTTATTGGTTATTATTTGTTAGTAATATTTAATTTTGGAGGCAGATGATAGAAAATGGCTCTTGGGTTTGTGTATATATGTTATATTGCCTGGATTAAGTCAAACTGATTTTAGTTAGTTTCACATTATTTTCTTTCATAAATTATTATTGTGTCAGACCGCCTTAACAATTAGGCAAGTCGACTCGTCAAACTATATGAACAAAAATGTCATACTTTTATTTATTTTATTTTTAAAGTATAACATTTTCAAAAGTATACTCAGTGAAAATAAGACCTATGAACTATCGTTTATCT